CGAGTTTTGGCCATCGGAGAGGACACAACTCAAAACACAAAGGAGGACAGTCTCAGCAGGTGAGTAGCAGGAGGCTGGTTTTTTCCATTAGCACTCCAAGGTCATGTCAGCCCTCATGTCTGAGAGAGTCACATCTACAGTCTGCCAATTCAGTATGAGTTTCAGCTGTTTGTTGCAGTGTATACATTTGTTAATAGAAAAATACTTTCACAAGGCTGTAGGGACCTCTCACATTTGATGTATAAAATGACAGCAGCAATGACCTTCTCAAAATGGATGTCTGTTGTCATTCAACAATAGGTTTTCTGTGGGGGTGCTATATCTTAAGAGGAGGAGAAGTTATCAGAGAACTTTTTGTGTCATATCTGGACTGGTCCAGAACTTCAGGGTGGAAGGTGGGGAAAATGTAACGGGCTCCCTCACGTGGATGATCCTCAGCTGTAGTGATCTCATGCCTGCATGCATCTATTTCAGGAGGAGACTGACTTGCTACATTTTTGTGCTAGCTTAATAGTTAGGTACCTCACATTCAAAAGTCACCATGAATAAACTTTTCTTTTTTTTTCTTTCAGTGTCTATGATATTCATTTTCTAGTGTTACAGAATCTGATTCAGAGCACACTGGCACTCTCAGATAACCAGATGAAATCTTACCAGTCATTTCAGGTACAGTATCTGGACCAAACCTGACTGTTGACAGAATCATAGAATCCAACCTAAAGGTTGGAAGAGACCTTTAATATCATTGAGTCCAACTGTTAACCCAGCACTGCCAGGTCACTACTAAACCATGTCCCTAAGGGCCCCATCTACATGTGGTCATACAACCCCTAAAGACTTTCTCCTTCCTACCTTGATATATTCCTTTTTCAAATGGGAGAAGAAAAACCCAGAAACTAAGATTTCTATCTGTTCTGTGTGGATTATTCTCTTCTGCTTTTAGGAAATTTTATGTCCTAGGCAGATTTTCAGTATGTTGCTTTTCTCTCTGAGGGTGAGGTTGAAGCAATCCCCAAAACTCGTATACAATAAACTCCACAACTCTTCCTTTGGGTCTAACTGTAGCATGATTTAGTGGCCACCTCAGCAGTCAGAATTATGCTCGGGAGGAGATGCCACAAAGACAGTCCCAGTATCCAGCTGACACTGGTGTTGGGGAGCCTCTTCTTCAGCACTGGGCACCACAAAAATATCATCAATTGGTCAGGCACTTAAAAAAATAAAGGTAGAAGCTCAAAGGGAGTTTAATAGCTCTTCAGCAGGCAGGAGTAGAGCCTGGAAAGCCAAGCTCACAGAAGCATATGTTCCTGGTAAAATGATGGGAAGAATCTACAGAATTTCCCATCTACAGATGGGAAAATGTGTTGCAGATGAGCATTTTTTACATAAATAATTCTAATGGGAGCCTGATCCCATTTTGAATATCAAGTGCTCTGTAGTACGTAGTTAATTCAATTGGCATTTACTGTGGAAAGCCTGGAAGCCCATAAAGGAGTAGAAGAGTGTAGTTAAATAAATTTATATGTATCATTTACACTCTGGCTTGTAGCTTCATATTCATTGAGTTAATGTGAATCTGAAGGCTGTGAGTCTAGCAGTGGACTCAGAGCTTGCACTGCCTGTTCCACTGGCTGGGGGTTTTCCAGACGTTCCGCCTGTACCGGGAGTACCGGGATGACATCCTGATGAAGGCTTTCCTGGAGTGCCAGAGGAGGAGCCTGGTCAACCGCCGCCGAGTAAACCACACCCTGGGCCCAAAGAAAAGCAGGGCTTTGCCTTTTGCACCCATGTCCTATCAGCTCTCTCAGAGTTACTACAGGTGGGTGTCAGAAGGGTCACTGCTGCTCTTCGGGCTGATCAGAGAATCCACCCGGGCACGCCTGGCGTGAAGGAGTAGCTACAAGTATCAAGAGTGTCATGAAATATCCAGAGCAAAGCACCTGTCAGGGCTGGAGCTGCAGAGTGAAGGTGATCTCTGTGGCTGTTAGCCCTTTTCCTTCCTACTGCTCTCTAGTACCTGACCTGTACATGATGCATATAAACTGAGTGTCTTTAGGAACCAGTTGAAAGGGCTGTGAAAGCAGATGTGGAAGGTACTTGGTCATCAGCTCTGGTGTGGAACTTCAACTGTTAAGCTTCTCTGTGCTACCATTGATGCACAGTAAGAACAGACTGTGAAAGGCTTGTCCTTGTTTGAATTTCTTTTTGTCCAGAGTGTTTACGTGGCGGTTTCCCAACACGATCTGCACAGAGGCCTTTCAGTTCCTGGAGAAGCTCAAGGCTGCTGACAAATCAGAGCAGGCAGACAGCTTCTCCTTTCAGGAGGAGGAGCAGGAGGCGTCGGGAGGCATGGTTGCCTTTCCCATGGATGGGCCTGGTGGGCAGTGTGCAGCCATGCTCTCCCTGCTCGCCCTGGGCCTCGTGGCCGTGAACGTGAGGATCCCAGAGCAGATAGTTGTGGTGGACAGCACTACGGTGGAAAATGAAGTGATAAAAAGGTAAATGCTGGTTTATTTCTGTCAGCAAATACAGTTTGAGAGTAACTCAGATGAGATTGGACAGGCATTAGCATTTTCAGCACCATATTGTGGAACGTTTTACTGTGCTGTTATTTAGGGTTTTATTTCTGAGGGAGCATTCTGAAGTTATAATAGCACTTTGGTTCCTGCTGTCACAGCCTTGGACTGCATTTGTCCCCACACACGTGACATTTAAATTGCTAGGCACTTCCCTGCCACCAGAGCTCGTGTGGAAAGGAGAGCAGCGTGGCTGGGGACCATTTTCATCACCCTCATACCTTCCCATTGCAAAGGCAAAGAAGGATTAGCAACAAGGTTTCAGCTTTATCAGTGAAACCTGCCTCCACAATATTGGTTCTACCTATTGTCTCCTCTTTGACTTCATTTTTTAATTTTGTTTTTAAGCCTCCAGTAATTGCATACCACGGAAATTGAAACTCTCTCCCTAGGCAGTCTAATCCCATGAATAGTTATCCTTAAAATCCCATGTGCTTTCTTAGAGTGCAATGAAAATCTCTTGCTGTAGTTTAGCCTGTTGTTTCCTGTTGTGTGTGTATATATATATATATATATACATGGAAAATACTTTGTTCTCTTTCTTTTTAGAGTAGCTTATTACCTGTTTGAAGATTATCACAGTCCTCTTCCCACAATATGCTGTTCTTTGAAATGAGCAGCCTCAGTTCTTTTGCTTGTGTTTTTGGTATGTTGTTCATAGAATCATTTTGGTTGGGAAAGACCTTTAAGCTCATCAAATCCAACTGTTCCCCCAGCACTGCCAGGTCCCCACTGCCCCCTGTCCCTCACACCACATCTCCAGGGCTTGGAAACCCCTCCAGGGGTGGGGACTCCACCACTGCCCTGGGCAGCCTGGGACAGTGTTATGTAGATTTCTCTTTCACATGATTTTCCTCTGCACTGAACTGTGATGTCAGAAAAGAAATGCCATGCTCTTGCTGGCAGGTCTGTGCCAATCTGAGCCAATTACATCTTGTTGTGTAGGGGATGTGCCTGCTGATACATCCCAAGATGATGAATGGCCACAGCCTTGCCAAAACCCTCCAGTGCAGTGATTCATGTTCAGCTTATTCTTCTGATTCACTCTAACAAGTTTATTCTCCTTTACCTAGTTTAGTGTGAGGGACAGGTGCACAGTGCTGTAATGCCAGTAACATGCATTTCTCCAAATGAAATTGCTTCGTGCTGTTCTCCAGACTATTTCTGCAGTCTGCTGGAAATGTTCCCAGCACAAATCCTGTCTTCTCTTATATCTGCAGTCTCTCCAGTTCAGTGATCCTGTGCAAACTTAATAAGCTGTTTTATCACCCAGGTCATTAGCAAAAATACGCTGAACCCTGGACCAGTCCCATTTCTGAGGACAGGCATCTGAGGCCAGTTTTCCAACTGGTTGTGTACTCACACTAATTTTTCCTTGTGTTTCCTTGTGGTTTTAGAGATGCTTTCAGGGAAGGTACTTAAGGTCTAACTCAGAAAAGGTTGGAAGGAAGGAACCATTGGTCGTCTTTGGCATAACTTGCTTAAAACAGGCAGCTTCAGAGTGGTTCAGAGCCTTCACCTTTGCCCATAACAGCTCTTGTCCTGTCCTGGAAAGAAACGGTGTTGGTTTCACTAAGTGTGTTTCTGGGAAATCTATCCTGGCTGCTGCTGTTGTTCTCTCTTTACTCTGAGACTGTCTGCAGTTTGTTTTGTGTTGGGGGTTGTTTGGTTTGTTTTTTTTTTTTTTTTTTTTTTTTTTTTCTTTTTTAAACTAACTGAAGTCTTTGGTCTGTAATTCTTTCTTGTCCTTTTCTCCCTTAAAAATAAGCCCTGTCTGCCCTGTCCTGCAGTGTCTCAGCCTCTGTACTGGGATGGCTGCTCCCTCATGATGAAGTGTCTGCTGCACCAAAGAAGCTCAGC